GGGGGGGGGGTCAGGAATCAATTGCCTTCATGTCCTAGTCCAGGGAGCTATACATGGTGCAGCAGGTAGGCTTTGCTAAAATTGTTTTTAAGTAGCTTCAGGAAATACCATTTTTAATTTATGCACAAACTAGACCTTTGTGATTGCCAAGCTAAGCAACTAGGATGGCATTCACTCTACAGTACACCAGTGAAAGCTTTACAAAACTCCTTATGTAAACATCGTTTCCATAGGGCTAGAACCATAAGCATTTAATCCCTCATTCATCCTGAAATAACCTGGGAAAAGGTTTGTAAGAAAACAGATAACGAATTAACTAGTCTGACTTAATTGGGCATGTTTGCACTCAGAGGCAGATAGTTTATCATCAGAGGAATGCAAGGTCAAATTAAGGGGTGGAGCTAGATGTTCCCCAGATGCTGCTGGATATTACAGATTAGGGATTGTTGAATGAAAGCTGTAGAAATTATACAATCACTTGCACTGAATTATAGCCCAAAAAGGAGGAGAGATGCTTAGGGCCTCCTCCCTTCTCTATGTGACCCTTCCTCCAGGCTTGGACCCTTTTAGTCATGGTCACATCAGTGAGATTAATTTGCTGCAGTGTATCATGGCTTGTAAAGCTGTAGTAGCACTTTATTGCTTATGGAGCTGTTCAGATGGTGAATTTGTAGCTAGGAGAAATGGATTTAGCCAAGGGGAAACAAGGTCAGACTTTGCAACCAACTATCACTCGGTTATTACAGACTGCTTCCTCCTTTCTGCTTTCCAAGGATTCAGTATGTGGCTTTGGACTTTTCCAAGACCTTGCTGGCCAGAATGATCAAAACTAATGAGTACGAATCTGATTTAATGGAAAATAATTCTCTTTTCTCCTGAAGTCTGATTCTCTGTGAAAATATGATCAAATACGACTGATTTATAGTAGCTTACTGAGCTCATTTATGCCTTGACCTTGAGGATTTGCTTGAGAATGAGGTTTGTTTATTTTAACCATATCTACAATGACTTCAGTTAAAACATGCCACAAAAAACTCTTTGCAGTTTGGTAAGACTGTAGATGTGACAATTCAAACACAGACATGGGCAATGTGAGCTCAGCTTAGAGAAACAAGCAAGACCTGTCCAGACTAGCTCACCATATCCTGCATGTAAAGATCAATCTTTGTAGTCAAAGGCAAAACCAGCATTTCTCAAATGTTAGCTTCCTTTTCTTCTAGAAAAAGAAAGCCTATTATAGAAAGAATTGTTGGCTCTAATAGGAAAGCTCAGTCATCATCAAAGGAGTCTTACAGAGCCTGATTTAGCCTAGCAACTCCCAATGCCTGAACTTTGCAAAGAAATTACACTTAGAAATATTAGTTTCTTTCTTCTTTACAAAAGCAGTGTTTGAAAGATGAGGTGAGAGAAGGAATTGAGGTGTGTGACCTGACAGTTCAGGAAGCGGGTGGTAAAACACAAAAGCTTTAAGCCTAGGGCACCTCCTGCATGACGTGGTCTGGACTGGCAGCATAGTATGCTGATGGCTACCACAGATAGAAAAAAATTAACAGACATCTATTCCATGGGGATGCAAGAACCATACAGGAAAAGATTAAAAACATGGCAGGAAGAGGTTAGCGACTGCAAATTAAAGTGACTTCAGTCCTTAAAAGATGCATGGGAAATTCTGTTCTAATATTGTTCAAAACAGTGTTCAAAACAGTTAGAACTAAGTTAGAGAAAAGACTTGTTGGTTTGAACTTCTGCATTTTTATAGAATTAATTTCATTCCTTTCCAACATTACGAAATTTAGGCTATTTCTTTTCTTTATATCATTTGGAAGATGAAGAAAAAGAAAACAGGAAAATTGACTTTAGACCACGAAAAATATGAAGAGGCTTGGGGAAACATTTTGTATCTTCACTCAGTTTCTGAAAATCGTGTATCTTAGGTAATTCTTCCAAAAATGCAGGAAGCTTATCATCTATAACATACTGGACTGGAAACATATTCCAGCCTTTTTGTTTGTAACACAGTAATTAAATTGTTACCATGAAGAATGAAAATTCTTCTTGAAACCAGCTTATATAGCATTTGTTTCAGTGTATAAATTGCCTCTCAGTTAGTTACTTCTAAAAATCCCCTAAAATGATAAGCTGTTTGAAGATGGAAATATTGCAAGTAGTGTACGCCATCAAAAGAAACCTCCTTTATCCCATCAAAAACTTTGCAGTAGCAAACAATGTTGCATCAGGTTTCCAAAGACCATGAATTCCAGAAGATTACAAATCATTATAGAAAGCCATCTGTAGGGCTCACTATGTGTCAGAATTACTTAAATCATGGCTTATATTTGATTCTTTCAGTGGTGTTACCATACCATAAAACGCCGAGTGTTCCTTTCTGGCATATCACCTGGACTGTGAAACTGTTGATCTTAACGGAGCCTTTTCCAGTAAACTCACCTTGGCTCAGTTCCTTATTCCCATTTGTATTTAGGTAGCATGCAATGGCCTAAACAAGATCAGATCACTCCAAGTGCTGAGCAAACACAAAGTGATCAAGTCATGCAGTGCTAGAGGTGCCCAAGATGAAGGGTAGAGCACCTGATGTGTTTTAAAGGGTTTAACTCATCTTTAACAACGATATTCATTTACAGACTGCAACTTGAGGGAAAAACAAAAGGCTCCAAAAACCTGCAAATTCACCAAGCGTGTTACATTGCTGCACATCAAGAACCAAACATCACCGGCTAGGAAGGAATATTTTAATACGCTTAGCATAAATTTAAAAGCAAAGAGCAATTCTTTGGTGACCCTCAGCACAATGACTAGCCACCGAACTGTAATTCCCACTCTACAGAGCGGGAAGCAGCATGTCAAGCTTGGGAGAGCTCAGACTGCTCTGCCCTTACATTGCCCTTCCTCACTGCTGTGTCTGGCAGTCTCCAGATAGCACAAGTAAGCCAGCTTTAAAAACTGATTATACACTAAAAATGCAAATTTGCAAGAGTCTTTGAGATATGAGTGTCTTGGGGTTAAGTTATTCAGATAAAGCTTAACTTCAGAATTCAGCTGTCATCTGTAACAGTGAACATTATATTACTTATATTTTGGATTTTATTAATAGAGATAGCTGAATAGTTTAACCTCCTGCTTCCCCTGTACTTATACAATGATGCAATGCTCTCGGGGTTGCAACACTATGAAGCCAAGTTCAAAACCCATCACGTCCATTCACTGTGCTGGAGTAAGTTTGAGGATGTGTTTTTAAATTGCTCCATGCAGTACCTGTTATGAATAGAACCCAGGAAAGAAAACAACACCAAACCCACAAAAAAAGAAAAAAGAAAGAAAAAAAAAGGGGGTGGTGGTGATGTTACCTTTTAAACTTAGATGCATTGCTCTTTCCACAAGGATATTGACAGCAACTGTGTTTTCCAGAAATATCACATCGTCTTCTTGTGACTTGCCATTGGTGATATCCGAACTTATGATATCCAGTTTCTGACTCTGATTTTCAGAGACCTGTTGGCTCAGATCAGGGGCTTTCTCTGTGCCTTCGTCTTCACTGTTGCTGTATTCCTCAGCACAGTGAAGTCTGCTGGGCAGAGCAGCAGAAGTGGAAGAAAGGACGATGTGAACACGTATAGCAGCTCCTGCCAGATTTGCAGCATTGCATCTGAACAACGGGTAAACCCCTGCGAGAGAATTCACAAACAACCAGCTAAACAAGCCAAATTAAAACAAGGATCTTGGAAAACAGCTGGTACAGTTCACTGCGGTAGAGATCTCCCATCAGACCAGCAGAATGAATTTTGATTTTCAATGTAATTTCTATGCAAGGTATCACGCAGTGCGCTTTTAGAAGTATCAGTTTGTAAAGGCTAAAAACAGTTGAACAATCCCCCCAATTGGGTACACCTTCATTTTCCTGCTGGCAGCTCAAATTACTATTTTAAAGAACATCAACTTTCTGAGAGCTCTGGGAATAGTGCCTCTGAATAATTTTATATACATATACAGAGAATATAACATATACACAGCATAAAATTTTTTTTTAACTCTTGTTCCTTCTCCTTCCCTGAGCATACTCAAAGAGCCAATAACCTGTCCACAAATCTACCTGTAAGCTGGTGGCTGATGGATACCACATAGATGACAGAAGCCTAAGTAACTGAATAGAGCAGAAGTTTCCATGACGTTCTCAGTGCTCAGTCATTTGCTCTGACTGCAGGCATTCAGCCTCCTTGAGAGACATTATTCTTACTGCGTCTCCCTCTATCATGATGCCCAATCTGTAATTCTGAAGAAACTTTCTCAACCAATCCATGTAGGCTAATTGCTGTCCCTATTACTGCCATTTTTGCACTCATTTAAACTTGCTAAGTTTTGAATTCAGAGAAGCAAGCGTTTTAACCTTGTTTATCTTCAGTGAAAGGAGGTGTTGAGTGTGTGTTGCATACAGGACAAAACAAAGCTGTAAATATTTTGCTTAAAGTGACTAGAGAAGTAACTAAACTAAAACATCAATAAAGAGGAATGAAACATGACAATGTTCTTTAGGAACTTACCACTAACACTTAGTGTTGTCCTTGACCTCTCTGCTAATGCTGCGAGGTCAACATAGGCAGATCCAATAAGACGATCTGTATCAAGTGGTCTTTCCACATCATTTTCTTTACCATATGCCCACCACACCTGTATTTCTAATTTCTCCTCTCTGAAGAACCAAAGCAGTCCTTGACTCCTTCTGAGAGTCACCTTGTTTGGTTTCTTAAAGTTCACTGTAACGTTCTTTGTGTCGTCACTCAATTTTGGCCTCCGAAGCAAAGTCCATGTGGCTTCCTGATTATATAGCTTATACCTGAGGTAGCAATAAGTGCTTTTATTCAGGTGTGTCTGGCCTGCAAGCAGCACACAGTCAACTGGCAGCCATACTCTTGGAGTTGAGATGGTCACAGTCACTGGATTGGCACTCTGCTCCCATTCGTCGCTATCATCCATGCTGTCTTCACAGCTCTCCTCACTGTTCCATCCTAAAAGCTTAGCGGCCTCCAAAACACGCTCTCTGTCATCCTGATGAGCAAAGGTAACAGAAAGTTCCAGTCCTCCCACAATGGCCTGCATGATGTTTGTGCAATGTGAAGGCATTAAATCTTCAGATAGGGTAACTGGGTACCAGCCTGTAATACCTTCAGGAGAAAAGATCATAATTAGACTTATCCTACCTTTTGAAAAACAGTAAAGAATTTTCTGCTCTCTGCTCATTAGTCAAGGAGCAGTACTTGAAGTGTTTATTTCTTGTGAAAGTTTTGAATTTGTCAAATAATTTCTAACCTGAAAAAGCAGCAAATTGTTAGGCCTCAGAAAACCTTGCCGGTGGTTCTGATCCCAAAGGCATTTTACTTTCCATTTCACTAATGACACTTATTTTACAACAAAACTATATCTCCATATAAAATTAGGCATTCTCAGGTTTTTCCTCCTCTCTTCCCATTAAAAATAAACCTGAAACTTCATGTTGGAGAAAACTAGCACTATACTGAGATTAAAGCAGAAATAACCAAGATGATAATGAAAACATTATTATTACAAGACATAATCATCACAAACTAAGACTACATAGAGGAGGTATTTTACATTTAGTTTAAAAAAAGTTAATCCAATTGCTTTCTAACTTATCCAAGCCTTTGTTTCCAGCTTTGACATCTGAAAAGCAATCATTGGTCCTCCATGAACACTACAACCCTTGGATCTTCCCATCTTAAGGTAGAAAATAAACAGCACTGCATAAAATACTAAGGAGGTATGCTCGTTTTAGCTGGGATGGAGTTAAATGTCTTCATAGTAGCTACAGAATATTAATTCAGCTACTATACATCCCACACCCTGAAAACAGATCTTCAAACAACAACCTTTATATGAGTTTTCTAATACAGGATTTTTAATGAAGATGTGCAATATCTGAAAGAACTTTGGTCTAAAAAAACCTCAAAACCAAAACATCCACAAAAACCTCAAAATGGGAATAAAGACTGTTTTAAGGAATTACAATAGCACTTACTATTGTATGTCAGCAGCTTAACACTGTTGTATTACCTGATCTTCTTCTCAGGAGGTCTCTGGTTGGAATTGTGACTGTCCCAAGAAGATAATCTCTTGATGTTCGAGCTGCCAATGTGTCAGTGGCTGGAAAAGAAATAATTTTGTAAATACACCAAATTGGAACACAAGATTTAGAAGTAATTTGAGACAGCATCTCCTTTGAAAGGAAGCTGTATCGCCTCAACAGCAAATAGCTCAGCTGTCATACTGAAAACGCTTTTAACCCATGAAAAAAGGACAAAAGCTAAAAAAATTGCCTGGGACATATTAGGCCAAAATCCATGAGAAACAGGGTGTGAATAAAACCTGTCTGTGGACATTGATTGCCAGTGCACATTCATGACAGGATACACGCTCCACCACCACTGAATTTGGAGAAACTTTTAGGGGGTATTTCCACAGATGAACATTAAGTAACCAGTGGGGAGCTAGTGGTCAGTTACCCCTAACAGCATGCCACTCCTGACTCTTCTTCCCCAGGAGTAAAAAACACTGTCATCCTTAGCTAGATTTTGGGTTTAAAATAATTCTACAACACGTTGTTACACTGTAAAACAATCCTGCTTATCTGCCACAGGATCATTGGAGGATTTTAAGGTATCATTTTTCTTAACTACCGTTACCTCTCATGAAGTGGAGGCAATAAGGCATGCACATACAAAGGCAGGCTGCTCCAAGAGTCAAGTGCTGTTACTGTTAATTGCATTATCTTTTTATTTAAGAGGTGATCTTAATCTCCTGGAGTCTTAGAAACCTCAACTCATTGCACAAGGGGAACAGTATCTCCGAAAGCCTCCTCTGAAGACAGTTTAGGTAATTACATCTATTAGCAACTGCACAGAGTAGTCCCCGGAAACATTCAAGGTCAGGTTGGACGGGGCTCTGAACAACCTGATCTAGTGGAAGATGGCCCTGCTCATTGCAGGGGGGTTGGGCTACATGATCTTTGCAAGTCCCTTCCAACCCAAACTGTTCTATGATTCCATGAATAGTCTCTCTTCTAAACCAAAAATTAAGGGGACTGGATCATTCTGCAATAGCATTCAGCCATTGTAATCACTTGTCCTCCTTACCTGACTTGGTGCTCTGATGGTAGATAGAGAAGACGATACTGGCAGACTGCAAGAGTTCCCCCAGACAAGTGGCTTCTCCACTACTTTTCTGAATGATGAGGTTACAAGGAAACTCTATGTGATGCTCGAACTCTGGGCAGAAAGTACAAGCCACAGCTCGTGTGCTGCGTCTCTCTGCCTCAGGTAGGAAGGAGAGGTGCACAGAGACGTAAGCATTAACTCCCACACCTGCATAGTACTGGACCGAAGGGTTCTTTTGTGCCACAGCTCTTCATTTAGTATGTAAAAAGAAAAGAAGAAAGAGAATGAATATAATGTACAAGGAATCTAGGAACTAATGCAATTAAAGGTTTCAAGTCTTCATGATGAAAAGATGGGACAAAACAGTGAATGTTGTAAGTCAAAAAAGATGTGGGTTCTGGCTGCGCATTATTTTTCACCAATTTTTTTTTCAACTGAACATACTAGGAACAGATATGAAATGGTGAGAGTAACTGTCACATGGTCCATCACTGGTGGCTGCACTCTTATTATTGTCAGGATCTGAGACCAAAGTGGTTGAGAAAGTACTCAGCACCTTTAAAAATATCCCACACTGTAGAAAAAGTTGTAGGGTAACTTCCCAGAGAACCTGCTCTACAAGGAAGCAAAAGGTAAAGTCAAATTATTTTTACAGACTAGTACTGACAAGCAAAAGGAGGTGAAATTAACAGGTGGAATTATTTACAAGTAAAACAGACCCAGGTATTACTCAGGTCATACACCTGAAGGATGAGGAGTCTGAGCTCATTCCACTTTCTTTAGTTCTCCAAGTACCATACGGTAGTGATCCTCATCTTACAGAATCTACTTGAATTAAGATGGATCAGGAGCTCAGCAACACTGAGAAAGGGTCAGTGCACTGGTCTAGAATGACAGGAGCCGTCCTCTTATGGAATGGACTCCCTCTCTTCTAGCCCTTCCTTTCTTAATTCTTGAAAATCGCGTATTGGAACTAAGTTCAGGTGATACCATGCACTTAGGGCAGCGGCCTTCTGGTGAGAAGGAACTTGTTTCATTTACTAGTTAGTTTATCAATGTTTCCACAGTGAAATTCAAGAAAACAAATCTCAGCTAGCTTTTAAATAGCATCAGTAACACCAATATCCAATGCCCAAATATGTACCATTTTATATCAGCCAATTTTTATATCAGCCTTTGGTGTAGAAAAATGTGGAAATGTAGAAAAACGTGCCCTTACAGTCTCAATCCCTCTGCAGAACAAATACTACCACACTGTACTGCAGCTTAAAGGACAAAAATAACCACTGATGTTCTTTATAAAGTTATTTTCACTTCTGATCAGAACCCAGTTTGAATCTCTGTCTCTGCAGATGGAAAGTTGGCCAGTTACAATTTGTTCTAATCTAATGTCTCAGCCTGCTGCCTCCAGATAAAGCTATTTTAAGAGAAAAATCTTCCTTTTAGAATTAGGCTTTACCTAGCTGCTGCTTGCAAACCAGCTGCTCTGTGTATTTGTACAGAAAGAGAAACAGCTTGAGCAGTTATTCCTGCTGCTGTTTTCATGGATCGTTGGTATCTCACACTCACATCAAGCAAGCCTGGATTAAATAAAGAAAGAAAGGAAAGAAATGGTCAGCTTTTTATACAGTTACATCCAATATAATCAATACTTAGTTATACCTCTTAATACAAAACTTACTCTATTCATGCAAAAAAATAATTCCATATGGAATTCATTGAGATTGACTGTGCAAGATGCTGTACTTCAGCCAGAAGTTACAGCCTCATACAGGAAGCACAGAAGGAAATAAAGGACTGCATCCTGCAACCTGCCCTACCGGCAGTCAGATCAGATGGTCTTAATGGCTCCTTCTCATTGGCAAATTTATGCCACAGTAAAATAGGAGAGGCTGTTTAACCCAGCCGCGCCCTCATGTGAGTGTTCATTGTAATACTTTTAAAATAGCCCACTGCAGTATTTCAACACATCTTTTTTATAGCACTGCAGTGACAAAATCTTCAGAGAGACAGATTTTCTGCTGCTGCACGTGGTGAACCTTCAAAATAATTGAAGCATACTGAACTCCCCCTCCAGCCCCAGCTTTTAAGGCCATTCTTTCCAAGAAACTGCCTCAGAGTTCCTCAGTGCCCTGCCAAGAGCTGATGTTTGTATCATTTGAAGGAACCACAGTGAACAGAAAGATGTCTCTGCCCACACCACGTACCATAAACAGCCCTTCTTTCAGATCTCCCATTCCCTACCTTACACGGGAAGCTTAACTACAGACTGGCTTATTGGCAACTAAGCAGTTCAATACACAGGGAGGGCTTTTTTAAACTTGTTAGCAGTTTGAGGGTTGCTCATGTTTAATTGCTGATTCTTCACTAGGTATGGTGACAGTGAAAGCTGGGAGGAAAAACTCTCATGGTTGGTATCAGTTGCCAACACAAATATGCATTTTTGTTTCCCTTGGCAGCAAATATACAGATCTTCACTTTTACACATAAAATGAAAACCCACAAGCCTTCCTTACCTGAAGACTGCAGATGAAATTCCACTGAGGAATCAGTCCTACGGACCAATGGAAGATTAAAAGTCTGTAACCCTATCTCTTCACGATGCTGCATAGTCACCATGGCACATAGCCGTGACAAAGGCAAGGTCCCTTTGGCAACCATTTGGTCTCTGACATTTGGGTAATAATACCTAGTAAAACATAAAGAAGCAGCATCAATCGTGCTGTTTTGATGATGACAAAATGATCATCATTTCTCTCACGACTGTACATAAGTCAACTTTGTGTGTCTTCAAACACTAGTTAAGTCTCCCGATAGCTAAGGGATAAACTCAAGTAAATGAATTTCCACAGAAAAAAAAACAAACAGTAAGTGCTCAAGTAGATAATGCTACAAATGTTCTTTTGCACTAGTCCTAGCAAGTCAACTAGCAGAAACTCTACTAAAAAATTGGCATCCCAAAGAAAAACAAGAGAAGGATCTGGCACCAAATACTCTCTGCTCTCAATTTTCATTAACAGATAAAAACGCTACTTGCAAAACAGTTTGTGAGTGTAAAAAATGACTCTGGACTGCTTCTCACCATGCTGCTTGGCTTCAGGCTCATCCTAAAGCAAGTTTTGGCACTCTATCTAATGAACAACAGGTAGATCAGGAGAAAGGCATCCACTGGGTTTTCAGTAGCAGTAACTGAGTAACGTGGTAGTGCTATAGACTCGTGTTTTCCTTTCCATTTTGGGACAAATTCTGAACATTAATTTATTGTTTGAGTCTTGGGTAGAGCACTGCCTGAGCAGTAGTCCCAATATCTTGGAATATTACACCTGTTGGTTTCTACGTTTTCCCCATACACTTCCAGGAGTAATTCAAGATGCTGGCATCATAGCAAGAACTCTCTGACTTGGAATCTGGCAGTCAGTATCTAATCTCCTTCCTAATTACAAAGATCTGTTGGTAAGCTTTTTCCATTTCAAATATTGCAAACTGGTAAGAGGATGTTTACAGAATTCTTAAAAGGCTTCCAGCTCAGTAATTTGCTCCTTTCACCCAGAACAGCCTAGATTTACCAGCCACTATCAGTGAGTGGTCAGGACAAGATTAAACCAAAGTCTAGCTGTCCTCAGGAAACTCAGCTAAAGCACATTTTTGAAATGCCAGGTACTAACAATTGGTCACTTCAACTGCTCTGGTCATTACCAACACTAATGTAAACACATCCAGCATGTAGTAATTCTCATGTGACTTCGCAAATTTTAAATAGCTTGGTTTGCTTACTACAGAATGAACAGATCATTATAATGATGCTTTTCTAAAACTATCTGTCTTCATGGTCTCTGCTTTCCACTACTAGTAATTAGCTTCAGTTGCCAAAGAAACTACAATATGAACTTACAAACATTTTATAGTATTTTTCTTTTGTAATCAGTGACTTTTATTAGGGGAAAAAAAAACCCAAAATGAAATTATACTGCCAGGGTGCTACTAAGTAAAATTTAGATGTGCCAAGCATTTAAAACCTACTTTTAGATCCCTATGCTGATGACAAAGTGGAAGAAAGCAAACTAAGACCACACACTTTTTAAAGAAGTTTTAAGAAGAAAAGTGTAATTAGCACTCTTGGGGGGGGAAAAAGGCTCACATGTCTTAAATGCAATCTTAAATGCAGATATTAGTCACCAAATGTTGATGAGCTCACCATTTTTTCACTTACTATTAAATATCCATCCCCTAGCTAGAGATTTTTCAATACCAGATATGTCTCCATCTGTGTTGCTGTGACATCTACAAAAAATAGGACGTTATTCTGTACCTGCACCAGACTTCAAACTGGATTCCTCCTCCAGCCGCTCCTGGTGCCATAAATGCACTGACCAGGAGCCTCTGGACTGGGACATCAGCAGGAACCAACAAAGAATGATGATGCTCATCATTAAAGACGGGATCGGGGACGCACAAAGTGGTTGCTGTGCGAAACGCCTTTAATTTGATGCCTACAAGTCAAGCAGAGTTGGTTAAAAATGGTTGCATTTGGGGGTTTCAATCTTTTCCTGTTTGCAGTCCTTCAGGAGGCAGGACGCAGGACCCAGAGACAATAAGTTAAATCCTCCTGCCAGAAGACTAGCTCTTCTGAGTTTCACTTTACAAATCTTTTACAAACAATTCACACAGTCCCATGAACCTGTGAGCCACAGGCTGAAAACTACTGTTAAATGTGGCTGGAAGCTGACATAGTCCACAGAGCTGCTATGGAACAATGTTACAGACCATCATTTTTCAGAGGAAATGGATATTAATGATTCAAAGCACTCAAAGACAACATTAAGTCCTTTTCTACAACTGCAATTATTTAAATACTCCTTTATAATCCCAATGATTTAAAACATGCAAGACTTCTCTTGGTGTATCCATGAAAATGAGCATCTTGAAAGGCTTATGTAAAGCCTTTGTTGAATTTAACTGTATACAATCGTAGTATTCCCTGTGACTCTGTTCTTGCATCTTTGCAGGATCAGTTGGTGAAATCTTATAGGATCTTTAACAAAAAGGCACCAAGTGAAGAGATTCAGAACTAGGTATCCTTTTTTGCTGGCAACTTTGTCATCTGCCTCAGTCAAAGCAGGCTTTTAATTTACTGACACAGACCAAGTACAGTTGTATGCAGATCTTCTGAGGAAAGCAAGCACTGCCTGCATTATGGAAGCTCAGAGAAATACAAACCCTCTTACTTAAGCAGAGAGAACATTACTAAACAATATTTAACTAAAGCAATGCTCTAAATAAGGATGTATCATAAACCAAACTTACCATCTTCATGCAATTCATTTCCTTGCAGTGCACCACAACCAGACTCTTGAACTGGGAAATAGTACTGTACATAGCAGTCAGCCTCTCCCCAGACAGTGGATTGTAAGGGAGTGAGCCCTTTCACACTCTCCACATGGATCTCAAACACATGTTCCATCAGGCCTTCCCCTTCTTGGTCTAACTGCTAATAAAACAAAGGAAATCCACGTGGAAAGGATGACTCCTTAGGTAACAGCATACGAGAGGACTGGGAACATAAGATTCTAAGAAGCCTGAGACGGGGCAGAACCACTATCTGCCATTTTCCTCCTAAAGTTCACAGAAACATCAAAAGCCTGATAGCTTTTTTTTTTTTTTTCTGCAAAAGCAAAAAAACCACAGCACATAAAAAGCATGAAGATTCCTACATATCCAACGCAGAAGGTAGTGGCAAAACCTGTATGGTACAGAATAAGGCTGTGAGAATTAAGATTTTTCTCCAATTTTGGTTTTTTTTTTTACTGCACTTGTCATGTAGATAGAAGCAATGGATATGCAGGGCAGTAAAAAGGGCAATAACGTCAGACTGGTGAGGGAAAGTGGGTAAGAAAAAAGTAAAAGTAATATAATTCTGCAAAGAACGTGATTGTTTATAACAAAATTGGCTACAGCATCAAAAGAGATTGGGGATCACTGGTCTGTTAATGAATGTACTGGTAAAATCCTTTTCACGTGTCCCTAACAGCAAGGGAATTTACTGAACAATACCATTGTGGGCTTTGTAGGAGGAGGGTCCAGAGAGTGGGAAGGGCGCTGTGTGACAGGAGGTACCATGCCTTCTTCATTTTTTAGCCTTTGCAGTGCCACTATTTGATCAGCTGACCCCATTGCCAGAATGACCCTCAGGCTTCCACTTCTACTGCCAGTAAAAACATCTATCACAGGCATATAGCTGTCCACAGCAATCACTGGATACTGAGCTTGAAGAAGCAGGTGGTAAATCTTTGGATCTCTAGAACAGATAAAACCAAAAAAAACCCAAAAAAAGACCCAACATGAGAATAAGCCATCTGAATATGAACATGATCACACAAAGCTCATTTTAGATGGGACTTTCAATGCAGTTAGAAACCAATCTATCTCCATTCCTCAAAAATCCATCTTAATTACATTAGTCTTCACAAAGCACAGATCTGTGAGCTATTTTCAGCAACAAGAGAGCACAGCTCTCCAAAACCTAATGTGGCCTTAGCTATAAGCCAGCCTAGAAATCTGTGAGCAAGGTGATGAACTACAACAAGACTCCCATTAATATACTGTAGCCATATGATATTTTTATGAGGCAGTTATACACCTTTGGGAATGGACTTGGGCAGGAAGAAAAGAAGGAACGGGGACAGTCTCCGAGAGAAATGTAAAAACCTCTAATAATACACAGAAGATACACACAAGTAAACTACAGTGGAGTACTGAACAAATATCCAAATGACATACTAATAATTAACAAAGTAGTGGCCAGTCGGTTCCAGCACCATCTGATTTCCACCTATCACTAGTCTGACCAAAATAAAAGGAATTAATCCTTCCCATTAGAAAGAATCTCTTCTGTCCAGTATTTCCATCAATTTAAATTGCTTTAAGCAGGTGTTTTATTGAACAAGAAGCCAAAACACTGAACCAAAAAGAACAAGAGGTCTGGAGAGACTCATCAGCTAAGACAATTAAAACATGAACTATTTAGAGACCTTTTAGATACCACAAGCATTATCATGTTCTGTGCAAACCGACAGCATCCCTAGCAATGGGATCTATGCAGAGCATAATCACTCCATCAGTCATAACCTTGGAAAATCACCAGTGGGAAACCACACTTACTTTTCCCATGCAGTCATTTTGATCTCTTACAGTTTTACTCTTTCACAGGACCACAAGTTAACCTGGCTCCAAGCCTGATGCAGTGCAGTGTCTTTATTTCTCACAGTCTACTTGATTTCTGTACGAGGACAGTGTAACTTACTTATATACTGCTCAGTGTAGGAAAGTGCCAGAGGAAGCTTGGCAGGACAAAAATGCCCGTTGCTATAAAGTATAATTATGAACCCTTCCACACAAACTGTAGACACCATCCTTCCCTTCTTTCTCTGAGCATCAGTTAGGATATTTCGCAACCCAATAAAATATGGAACAAAGATGTTTACTTGAATGAGATGTAAAACTGATGCAGAGGAAGTTTCACTAATCCTAGCAGTCTGTCACACCGAGGACTTCCCATCTTGTTCCATGCTTCAATAATCATGACATTGTTCTTCAGCCGCTCCAGGTGTTTGGAAGTCAATGAAAAAGGCATCACCTGAAAGAGTTTAACGCAGAACTAGTACACAGAATACACTGGAAGCTATTGCAAAGTACAGAGCATTCTGGTAACGCTACATTATTCCAGTCTATAGAACTGTGCTCTTTAGATATGGAAATTAAAAATCAAATGTATACTTGCCTAACAAGTTTCAGAAAACTGGTAAGCTTGGAAGAGAGCTAGCCAGGAAAGTAAATGCCATTTAGATAAATTTTAACATAAGATCATATGCTATCTTGAAAAACATTGTTTTTATCTTTAAACACCTGTTTACTAAACAACAGATAAATAATTTCAGACAACTGTTTCAGATGTCTTTTGCCATGTTTTTACATTTCACTCTTTCAGCTAAAGACTAAGGAGTCTCACAAATCACTAGGTGTTTTTAAAAATAAAACAAATGCATTTGAACATCCTGACATTTCCAAAGGAAAATGTCCATAATAAAATTACAAACTCATAACATTATTAAATGCTTGAAATTCTGCTGTTTGCCTGGGGAAGGCTCTGGCCCATATAAGGACAGTAACCCACACTTCTGTGCTCATATAGCCATTGAGAAGAAAAAGAACACCAAGCAATGGAACAAACAAAAAAAATCTACATCTACATATTAGGATGCCATGAAGATGCCATTAACAATGTGTTTTCTTGCCAAAATGGAAGAAAGGAGAAATCAACTTTTTTTCAGTTTTGACCTACACTTTTCTGACTATTTTTCTTTTGTACTTCAAAAGTCCTGTTTATTATTTGGATGATTCAAGGAACTGCATTTCAAACTGTGCAATGCAGCCAAAACAATATTGAAAGTACCTTTAACATACTGAACAGGGCCAAGAAGAGAAGCTCCTACATATATAAAAGTAACTTAGCTTTGAAATATGTTTGTCAGTGTGGAATAGCACATTTCAATCGGTGTTAAATGGAAGATATGTGACTTGCCTGAGAAAAATTAAAGGCAGGTTGTGTTGTGCCCCATATGACAGCAGATCTTGTTGCCTCCTCAGAGCTGAGGAGCTTGCAGTTTAAATACACATTACAAGAACTGTGGAGTCCATAGTCTTCAGCACCAAAATCCTTTCCATCAGGCACCATCAACAGCACATGCAGTAACAACCCATCCTCTTCAGATGCAGTTATTTGTGTCATCAGATTACGGGCTACAGAGGTTGGTACAGCCTGCGATGGCTGCATGACGTTTATGCTGGCTGCTCCTGTATTCTGTGAGTCCTCACAGTTGTTAAGTTTCAAGCAGCGAGGGCTTTCTGCATTTATACTCTTCCTGTTGGGCTCCTGGAATTCCAGACGCGGACTTATTACAGCATGAGCTGGGACCTGCTGCACAGCCATAGCTGACCTGGCAGCGGTGCAGGTGAAGTCTTTGTTGTCAGCTGCAAGCTCTAAGGATACCTGCATTGTGCAAGGCAAAGCAAGCTGATCAGAAGACATGCCCCATACAAAGACAAGAGGCTGCAACATAAACTCAGGAAAATGCATGGCATATTTTGTTCAAGAACTGTGTTAGATCATCACCCAGAAGGCTTACCTTTAGACACATGCTGGTTACAAGCTACAACTGTCACTGCAAAATAAACTACATGCAGTTTTATCAAATAAAGCAGTAACTCAAGTACAAAAGTATACAATTACAGCCGAATAAAGGAAAAAATTAAAACCAATCACAAAGCTGACTGAAAAACGAACACCTACCTAGCCAAGGTGAAAAGTACTGTAACAAAGTATCATAACTATCATTTGTTCCACTTTGCTACAGCACTTGCTGCTTGCAAAAAATTATTAAAAAGAAGCGTTTCTCTCAAAATGTTTTCTTTCACTGCTCTTTTGCTTTTACATTCCCTGCTGATTTTAGCTGTCCCTAACTCCTCTCCCTTCTGTGGGCTCCTTTTTCTCTCCAACAGTCTACATATTCCACTGCATTTGTCATCTTCTTTTTCTGAGGTTGGGGTTTTTGGCTTTTGTTTTATTTTTTAACACTCTGTCCCACATTTGAATTGCCTCTTCATGTTGTCAAGATTTGCAAACGAAATAGTTAGATTGGTATGAATGAAAATATATGTGTGAAAGCAATGAAAGAAACATGAGAACAAAGGTTAAAGGAATTGCAAGTGTTAATTTGCAAGTGTTAATTGCTAGAGCATCATAGATCTGCTGGATTCATTCACATGACAAGACAGCAAGAAGCGGAGGAACAAACTGAAGCCCAGAACATAAGGTAACAGGATAAAGAAAAGGACTGGAGCCATAAAATGCCCAAATAAGGAAAACAAAATAATCAGACTCAAGAATTTTGCCTATAACTTAGAAGGGATGAGACAAGATATTGTGGCAAAAGATCCCAAACAGTATCTACTCCTGAAGTGTATAAATAACACGTCCAAAGATGAGGAGTTCAAGGCCGTCTGTCAGAAAGAACCCAAGAAATGAGAAGTGGACTCAATAGCTGACATCCCTTACCCTCCATTGCCTGGCCAGAATAGCTGGACATACATGTATTTCCGATAGGCAGGTATTACACTGAGTGAGTGAAACCTAAGAGACAGGGCGACCAAAATCAGTTTTCTTTAAGTATTAGCTTCCCCTTCCATAAATTCTTGCATGGAACTTTGGTTCATTAATTCCCCACAATACCTCCTTCCGCTTTTCTCCTCTCACACCCTGTTCCACTCTATTCTCTCCTCCACAACACACCATTTCTCCTCCTGCCTTCAATTAACTCCTCCCACACCTAACCTCTACATTTTATGATTCACCCTTCTGTGGCTCCTCTACTGGCAGCTCTGCTGAATGGCTCCCCTGAAAGAAGTTTCACAGCCCCTGTGACAGAAAACATTGCTCATCCCATGAATTACAAAGTGACAGAAGCAGTCCATGATCATGTTGTCTGGGAATAATTTAGGAGCTCTGAATGTAAAATTCCTAAATACTCTCTTAAACCTTCACTTGCTAATCTAGAGAGCTGTTTATCTTCAGAACTGGCACATCTCTCAAATGTGCTGTGCAGAACTGTTAATTCTTCTCAATCAGAAGTTGAGCATTAGTAGAAACTTTGGCTGGAGAAGCTAACTCCTTAAGTGACAAGGTGGTACCAATGACAGGGAGCATCAGGCCTCTGTGGCAGGAGAGACCTCAGCTCATGTCATGTGTGGAGCAGGAGCCAAAGCTCCCAGCCCTGAATGTGTGCCACTCAAAATCTGCCTGTAAAGTGGTTTCTGTATCCAAGCCCTAGCTTCTTGACCCTCATTTTACCCTGCAGCCAGAGGAACATCACACAGCAACATCCTTAGACATGCAGGACATATATTAAAAATATTTCTCCAAAACCCAAAGGAAAAAAAGGGTTCATGTTATCTTGTATTGGTCTTACAAACCTTCCTATCTGAGACCTGGCAAATTAAAACAATGAAAGAAAAGAAAGAGGAGGAAAAATTAAAAAAAGAGATAATATGCAGCCAAAATTAGTAACAGCACGTCATGTAACTCAAACTCCATACAGTAAAACACATACCTTTAGTGGTCCAACTTGTGTCTGATCTCTCTCTTTTTCCACAGGTATTTCACAGCTTACAGCGAGCAACTCAGACTGGATAACCTTGCGTAACTGAAGTGCTGCCGAGCCAACAGCCACTGGCTGAGGGCAGAAAAAGAATCAATTTTGCAAGATTTCTGTCAGGTTTAAAGAACTAAGGGCGTAATATGAAACAAATGGGAAGCCATGGTCAGCCACTCCTCAGTCCTATGCCACTAATTTTACCAATAGGGATTTGTAGGAAAGTTTCCCTTAGTTTCCCTTAGTTCCAGTTTCAAGTATCACTAGGACACAATAAGGAAAATTCTCCCAGTACCTACAGTAAACAGTTCCAGGATAATGCAAAAATGAACATTCCAAATCCTAGTAACTGAGCAAAATTTCCATACTTTAAGATGCAATTTATTCACCCCTTAAACGAAAAGCTCCCATTAGAACAGATGGGCAGATATCCTTGGTGATGATTAAAACAAAACATAAGCTGAGTTAACACCTCTCACTGACTTCATCACATGCAGATGATTATGCAAATATTTTTACCCAAACGAAAGATACTTTTTTCCCCCTCCAAATGCACAAGTTACACCATTTTCTCACACCTCATATTACTCCCCTTACCCTAGGCAGAGTAATGATATCAACTGCATCCACGTTAACTCGTTCTATATTGCTAAACGAGCTGCGTTCTCATTGAAGACTAATGCTTGTAATTGATCCAACAGCTTGTGATTGCTTCAACAGCAAGAGATAGTTTTAAAGATGAGGGAAGGACAATTTCTTTTGCCTGTCAGTCTCAAACTCAGAAAACCATTTAGTTGGGCAACAAGACTGAATAGCAATTAGTTCAACATCTAGTATCTGCACATAATGTCATTTCCCTTCATAGTATCTGGCAATGGTCGATTAAGAAGTGGCTCAGTAAAGCCACATTACTTTGTTTTGCCTCTGATGGCTGAGATGGCAGCAACTGCAATGAAGCATTGCAGAAGACTTAGAAAAGCCACTGTTGTCTGCATAAGTATTTGGAGGAAACAGAAATGCAAAGAATTTCTTTGCTTTTCAATACACAAAGTATAAACAACTTTTAATAAGTACCTTTTTCTGTGTGCTTTTTCTCATGTAGATTTTAAAAGCAAGGTCAGAGCTCCACCAGTGCTCTATCATTGTTCCACCAAAACGGACAGGGAACACAAACCGCTGCTGAAATTTCACAGCTGCAAGGAAGACAGAGACTTGTGAGCTCTTAACTGGATTCAGATCTAACCTGTCTTTTGAGCTTGATCAGGAACAGAGAAATCTTCAGTCTCTGCAGAGAACATGCAGGGCGAGTAGAGACAGATGCAGTTCAGAAGGTATGAGGGGAAAGTGATGGCACTTCTGAGAAGGATGGACAAACAAAGAGCATTTGCACATCTGCCAGAATCAGAGATCAAGCAAGGCTGGGAGCTGAAGGGGGAAGGTCTGCCGCTGGAACCCTCAACAAGAATCTCTCGAGGTTTCAATCTATTAAATTATGTTACAAGTCTGTGGGTAACTTACTACTTTTTTTTTTTTTGTTATTCACAGGAGCAACAAATATTCAAAATTAACTGAATATAAATAAACTTTCCTGTGGAGATTGCTCTGTTGCACACACAATCACTTAATTTTGCATTACTTATTAACACCAAGCCCAAAGTAAACCATTCTTCATTTTCCAAGGCCAAAAAATAGCAGGAGGGCAGCACAACAAAATGAGTACTTTAAGAGCATCTAAAGGCTGCAGTTGATACCAAGTCTCTGTCATCCTAGCACGCAATGAGACTTTCCCTTCTTCAGTGGGAGAACCCTGTCTCATTTTAAGCAATATATTTCAAGACACATCTTGAGAGAGTCAAAGCTGAACTGCAAGAATAATTGCAGGTTCTGGAGAAAAGTAATATCTGCAAGAAAAGACTGAGTGAATTGGCATTTAGTCTAGAAAGAGCAGAACAAGAAGTACAAGAACAGTATTGAAATAGTATGCTTTCTTTGTTCACAATGGATAAAGGAAGTATTCTTGTGATGACAAAAACTCAGGTTAGACATACGGAAGCTTTTCTAACAGGAAGCGCAGCACTTCTACAACTTGCCTGGGACGGCTATGGAATGTTTCTCATTGGGCATCTTTAATAAATGAGATAAACAGCTCTCAGGAAAGATAATGGTACAGTGGATTGACTTGACAGCTTCCTCAAATTGTTTTCAGCCCTACCTCTTTTTCTAGGTTCCAAAGAGCTGGAATCTAACCACACAAGACAACATGAAGGAGGCTGTATTATTTTTGTATTAAAAAGAGCTAAGGTTCAGAAGAATTAGATGTTTTGTCTGGACACAAATGGAGAATGTACAAGAGAACTGAGAATTACCCCCAGATCTCTCTCTCAAGTGCCACCCAGAAAGATGCAAAGCCAATGAATGACCATATGGGAGAGGCAATTGAAAGCAACCCTAGCATTCCAGTTTCTGGGAAGACTGGGCAGAGAGGATCTTGCTCATACAGCATTCTCTGCTCACTGAGGAAAGAAACACTAACATCAATTGTTCCCAGGGATACAAACACTGGTGACTCTCAGTAAAGAGATTAATGTCTACTGATTTGAGCACAGGACTCAAGATCTCTTGGATCCAGCAGAGTCTCTGAGCTCTTGCAGATATTACATGACATACTTCAACATCTGGAAAAATTATTTATTTGAGATGTAAGTATCTCTGATATTTCTAGAAGTACTTTATCATCCTCATACTATTGCAGAAAGGATATTGGGTTTATGCTGAAATGACGGAATGGGCTTACTGACCTGCTATTATGTCCCTAGGAAAAGAAATTTGAAAATCGCAACATGAATACTTCTTGGAAGCCAAAAAAAAAAAAAAAAATCTCTTGGCTTCCTTCTCCCTGAGAGGACCATTCCACTACCTGCAGCAAAGCAACTCTGTTGGCAAAGGTGCCACTTATCATACTGTATTTTTCAGGCAGCAAAGAAAATACATAGAAAATGCTACTAAATAATTTCTAAGAGATGAAGGAGTCAACAATACTAAATACAAGGGGGGAAAATAATGCTCTTACCATCATCTCTGATTTTACTTGAAGCTATTCGAATTACTTCTGTTTTTATGGAGACCTGTCTTTTTTCATCCTTGGAGGCTCCCACAGGAAAGTGGTACTCAACAAAGAAGGTACTATGAATGAAAAAGTGAATGGATGATCACAATCCATCAAAAATCTAATGTACATAATGAAACTGAACATAGCAGGCAAGTTTCATATCCACAATTTATTGTTACTCTATTTTTTTAGAATAATTGAACTACCTATTTTATGAATTCCTTCAACAGATTACACATATGTCAGATTCTCCTCCAACAAAACCCCCTTTTGTTTCCAATGTACTGCCATGCACAATGCACATTTGTAACTCCCCCAAATCCCAGAAAAAGCACCACCTGAAGTGAGCCCGCATCAGGATAAATTATTCACATCTCTAACTTTCAGAAGTCTATGGTATACAATTTCCTGAGAGGAGCAGAGAAATAGGAAGACCTCAGAAGCCTGGAGAGCTTAGGTAAGCTGGACTACACAACAGACCTCAGAGAAAGCTACCTTGAAGACACAAGTAACAAGCTGGTGAGAAACAATCCCCCTTACCACTTATTAACTGATACAGGCCTTGGAGGCTTCCCCATGAAACCTTTCTTTCTTGGTGTAATCTGGATGCTCTCAAGAGGGATTTTCAAGCTTTCAATGATGACTCTGGCTAGGTGTATTCGCTCCAGCAATGCCAACCTGTCTGCACTGAAGCATGTGACATGAGCTTCTTCTGTGTGATCTTCTGGAGGAACCAGTGGCCTAGTAGGAGAGCGGCTGAAGAGATAAAACTGAGAATCAGGACTACACAAATATTCTTAACACAACCACATGAAGGGAAAATTGTAGCTTGGTGGGATATTATTTAAAAACTGCTCATGGTTCATTAAAATGCACATTTTTAATGTATTTTTTACAACAGATTTGGTGGTCTCTGTAACAGAAATCTTCTAATATACAATATCTAGGGAACATAATTGTGGGGGAAAAAAAAAAGCAACAGTGTTTCACATTGTTGGAGTTTTGAAAAAAGCTTATGCAGTCTAACTCTTCAAAAGGAAAAGCCTCATTCAATATCATAAACAAAAAAAGGGAGAAGATACAGTTATACACATGGACAAGTCACTGCTGCAGAGGAACAGCAGCAGGATTTTTGTCATTATTTAAAACCTCACTTGCACTTTATTTGTAAGACTTGACTTGTAAAAGGTTTTGTGTTGGTACTTCTGGAGATATCAATTTTATCTGAATGTAAAAATAGCAGTATTTGTAAGAAAAGTTTCAGAAATAATTGTTTGAAGGTGAATTAGAAAAAAGAAGAAGTCATAAAACCTTAATGCTAACTGGTATTGTACAAGTAAAGCTTGATAACTGGATTTTTGGGGACACTGTTTTATTGGTTCTGTCATGGAAAAAAGGGAACACAGTTTAGATCGGGTCAGAAGAGAAGTTTATTTACTACAGCTATAGGAGAGAACACAAATCAGCAGAGAAACAGACTCTGCTGATGTGAACTCTGTCCCTGTAAAGCAGATACAAATTTTATACACATAGAGACATTGTGCAAAGAGAGATAATAGGATGTGAGTTCTTTCATATCTGTTACATACACAAGGCCACAGAACTGCACAAAGCTCGTCTGGAGTCTGCTTTTTTCAGTACAGGGACTAATTTAGCATGAAGATTACACAGACATTATTGTTTCAGGAGATAGGGCGAGAGTTCAGTTGAGAGGCCCACTCAGGCTTTAGCAATTCTGCTTCCACAGTTCAAAACATTATTACTAGGCTTATTGCAATTTTGGCAAACTTGTGATTTTAACTAATTGCATCTCAATAGTTTCTTTAACAACATATAGCAATGCCTGGGTGATGCTGATGGCTTATCATTCCCAGCGATGCTATGAAAATTCCCCACCAAAATGGTTATTCAGTGAATTGTGTGATAATAATGGAGCACGATAACATAGTGTGATTCTTGCTAATACTAACTCACAATGAACAAGAAGCTGCAAAACAAGTCACTAATGTAACTATTTACCTGGGTTTAATTTCTGTCACCTTCTGACCCTCATCAAAGGCATTAGAATCCTTCTGTGGATTCATTGGATCAGCTTTCTTGAGAGTTTCTGTCTTGGTTACTTTTTTGGAGGAGTTAACATCATCATCACTGAGGAAATCACTTAAACTGGAATCATATTTCTGAAACAGAAATAATGCACATAAAATAAAAAGTTAACTACCGTTGTCAAGAAAGATACATAATGGTCATAATACATAAAGAAAAAACAACTTGCTGATTGCATAATTCAAAACAATTAAGATGGTATCAAAATTTTTTAGAGGTTTAAAAAAAGTTTTCATGGACCGCCTCAATCCTAGCAATTTCCAAACTCACTGCTTGACTTTGTAGTCTTAATAGTATTCTTTTAATAATATTAATTTTAAGCAATGTTCTCACAAGCTTCTGTATGATACTTAATGCTTATTAAGCCTTACTAATACTGAAATCTGTAGCCTTTATTTTTTGATGCAGACTTCTGATTTTCTTCACCTTATGGGCTACATATTAAGCACCTTCCTTTTGATCTCCACTTACAGGAGCTGTGTAAAAAAGACTCTCTAGCAGACTCTGGTCATAATGCGGATCATTAAGTTCACTGTCATACACCTCACTCCTGAGAGACAGAGAATCCAAAATTGAACCTGACCGATCCCAGAAATGCACAGGAGATAAATCAGCACTGTGGACACAAAAGAAAGAAACATAACTTAGTGTTGCAAGTTCTGCAGTCAATGTCTTATGAATTCTGACAATACTGTCTATTCTATACTGGATTTGTGCTATATAGGCTCCAGATACAGCCAAACTGTGCTTACATAGCACTGTACCCAACCTAATACATGTCTGTGACCTGATGGGTTATCTTGTGATAACATCTCTGGACTCAATGTGAAAAGTGCATGTGAATACATATCCATAGAATTGCAGAACAGCTGAGGTTGGAAGGGACCTCTGGACATCATCTAGTCCAACCCCTGCTCAAAGGCAGAGGATGCAAATAAGAAAACTGTCCAGTCAGATTCTGAGTATCTCCAAAGCTGGAGATTCCACAACCTCTTTGGGCAACCCGTTCCAGGTGTTGATGACTTTCATCATAAAATATATCTATTAATATCTACCTATAATTTTTATCCATAAGTACATTATAATTTTTTAATGCTTTAAGATACCAGTAATACTTAAGGACAGTTTAATAAAATATAAATACAAGCTATATCTGAGTAGGTAAATACATGTATCTTTAGAACATCGTTGGAAAAAGTTGGGGTTTGTTTGGTTTAAGGGTTTTTTATCTGTGCTGCGAGTTCAAAACCAGTTTATGATCTGCAAACACTTCAGTGTGATCCAGTGATAAACCACAGGGAAAAAACAAGTGCAGGGCACGAAACATATGATCTGAAATTTTGAACCATATCCAACACAGAGGCTGTATGCTTCATACCCCTGATTTGGATAAAGACAACCTCATCATCATTCATACTCTTACTACTCCTCACAAAATGAGAGAAAAAGGTCAAGTTAATATTTGGAGAAAGATTAAAAATAACTATTGGTTCTCACCATTTTTAATTTATAGACCACAAGTTCTTCAAAAAAACATTGTATTTGTTTTATGTACTTCTTAACATTTTAGGGCACAACAGTTACAACTATTTAATAAATTATTCTTATCAAAGATTGTGGTTACTCTTTCTGACATAATTTTTACATCAAGGTACTTGGAGCTGTCTAGGTTGTCATACATTAAAGTTGAGTGCAAGCTGAGGTATAAAACACCTCCATCTCTTGCACATATGATTCGCTGGTTACATTTCCAGAAATGTGCAGAACTTGAAGAGTCAAGAGGCATTTTTCAGTATAAAGTGCTCAAATAAGGACAATTTTGCAGTAAGCCCCAGTGCATTACACTCACCTGCCCAATAGTAAGTGTATTGCTCTCTCTTCAGAGTTTAGGTCAAACTGCTGACCTGAAACTTCAGATGTGAAGAGATGGGAATCTTCAGGAGTGGGCACAAAATTTGACTTCAAGCCTTTTGGGCTCCTGGATAACAGCAATTGCAGCAGAGACAGCAGTAAAAGGAAAAATAAAGATATTAAGGCACGTTCAAGATTAATCCATCAAGGATAAAAATCAAAGGTTATGTACAGGCTTCTCCAGTTTGCAGCTTAATCTTTAGATACACAAAAACTTTCTGCAACCCTGCAGTCTGCTGCAAGTCGCATCCAAAATCTTATACTTTGCAACGTGTCACAGAATCATAGAAACATTTAGGTTGGAAAAGACCTTTAAGATCATTGAGCCCAACTGTAAAGGTTGACCCAATCTTGCAGTTTAAGCACAGCTACTGCAAACAAGAGGAAAGGGGGCCTGAGAAAGACAAACAAGATGTTTATAAATGACACTCTTATCAATTTTTCCTGGAAAGTCCAAAATAATCTACTTTTAAACAAATTGGAATAGTTTGAGCAGAAATAATTTAAATTGTGTTTGCAACAGCATCATTGACTGTCAAAGACAGTGACAGTATTTTCTGGTTTATAGTGGAACAAAAGGCATTGTTAATCTTTTCCCAAAAACAAGGAATTGAAGTTTCTCCTGTAAAAAACATGCATTTGTCTCAATACTTCTAAATTTCAATTTCACTGAATTGAGAACATTTACTAAGCCTAGTACTAAACAAAGTTGGAGTTAGAAGTTGAAAAGGCACAAACACTTTTTTTTTTTCAGTCTGCTAAGAAAGATCATATGGAAGAAGATAATGACTACTAATTCTGAGAACACAGTTATAGATGCAATTTTCATGGGTATTTTGGCATCAAGAGGTTCAAACTAGAATATGCAAAAGTACTCAATTTATGTCACTAATTACTTACATTTCTTCAAAAATCTGTTCTCTGTGATCAAGAAACATTTAATTTGCTATGTTCCTTATCATACTCTTACTCCTTATCAACATTTAACATTTCCTTATCAAATAACACTGTACTAAATAGAAATATACTGTGAAACAAAATTAAAATCAGTGACTTAAATCAAAGCTTACTACATGATGATTAAAAACAATTCACAAAATGTAGCATTTTATTCACAAGTAGAAGTTAATTTCCCATTTGAACAAGAATCCTAATATAAATCACATGAATCTCAGTATTTCAAGTTTTCCTGATAGGGTCTCAAAATTTATGGTTTGGAACTTAATATGACTTCCCCCTTTCCCAAGCTCACTTTGCTGGTGGTTTGAAGTTGTCCCTCTCTATAAAAGCAGGCACTTCATTCAGTTCAATCTCCATGTCCGGGCTAGATTTCATTGCAGAAACAACCATGGCATCACGGAGTTTATTGCCTTGATCCAAAAGAGCTGAGAAATAAGCAGAAGGATTAAATCTCAGCATTCAAACGCAATTTAAAAGCAACGTGTAAACACAATAAATGTGCCAGCTACAGTCAAGAAACTTCTGTTCTCTGCTGTTATAAAGAGATCTTGACATACTGGAGATTAAGTGCATGCTATACACTGTAAAACAGATAGCACAGCTGGGAGTGAGTGAGAGTAATCCTCTATCACTCAGAGCTGTACAAATAACTCATCTGCAGGCAACGAGTCAGGCATTAGAGGGGCATTATTAAGATACAGTAGCAAAATTAATGTATGGAAGAACAGCTTGTCACCTTAGCACGTCTCAACTGCAGTCTAATTTTAGGCCGTCTCTGTAAATATAAAAAAATAACTCAAAAGGCAACACACATGGAAATGTGCCCTACTTTGATGCTCTTTTGAATCCAGTCCAGGTGGTCTGTGATCTAAAAGGGATGTTAACTGGCAGGTGATGGAAAAGAAATTATTTTCCATCTGAAAATGCCAGTGGCATAGAAATCCTCCCAAGACCTACCTGAATGTGAGTGGAACCTTTGATGACTGTCTCAGAAGACATGTCAATGATTAAACAGGCTGCGAAGCTGAGCTTCTTTTTCTTTTAGCCAGGTCAGAGCTCAGGCATACTGCTAGGACAGCATGTTTTGCCTGATCCTGATACTCAAGCCACCTTCCAGCAAGACTAAATCAGTACTTTTTAAGTAAAGACCATTTTATTATCATTTTCTGTTTGAAATAATATAGTGAGAGCATGCAGAGTATCACTTTTCCTTAAGTCTTTATCTCTAGATAGGCAACTGCAATATTATCAAGAACTATTTATTGTGAAATCTAAAAGATGACAACAATTGTATACAAACCTGAAAGCAGGTCTTTTGTAGCTGGATTATGCAAAGAGAGCACCTGCGTGTTTGTTCTAGCAGGTGCTTCAGGATCAGTGCTGGTGGGAAATGACACTTGCCAATTTGAAGGATTCACTTTCAGACAGTCATCTGGTAAAATCAGATGGTGATGAGAAGCAGAAAAAGTGTCCTTTATGTTTTCAGAGTTCTCTTGGAAGAGCAAATGGTCCTTTCCTCTATTGAAAAATGAAACATTATTTCAGTAACAACTAAAATGGATTGGTAAAGGGATTCAAATCTCTTCAAATTCTCCCTAGCACTGCAGCTGCCCCCCTACAGTACAGGCTCCAAAAAGAAATGTGACACATTATTTTAATGACTCCTTATCTTCCACTTATACCATCAGAGAGACCGACTCAAGCTGTAAGTACAAGGTCTGTGGTACCTCTTGTGTCAATTAGCATAGCTTGAACTAAGTCAATGTAGGATGCAAATTTATATCAGATGAGAAACTGGCCCTGTAAGCTCTGAAATGCTGAATGTTCTGGATTTCATATAAAATGCATATTCAAAAAGATCAAGTATTCCCTAACTTACAAGTGTATAGCCATTGCTTAAAAAAAGTGTCATGAACTGCAAAATAAACCAGAATTTTGTCATGGGGAAAAAAAAGATACCTGGGAGTTGTGGCTCTGCTATTGTTAACGGACTCTTGGCCAGCAATAGTCACCCGCGTTTGCCTGGGCTGCTGTGATGGAGCAAGAACCTGGGGCTTGCTGCTTCCCTGAGCAGGAGAGACATCTAAACTTGCATCTGTGGTTGGGACAGAGCTGCTGGTGTCATACAATTCTGGCAGAGGTTCTAGAACTAGTGAGACCTGAAAGACAGAATGTGAAAACAGTATTTCGTTATTTTCTGAATTAAGTGCAACACATACTGTATTCAACTTTGTCACACTCTGGAAAACTGTTGCTTTTCTATGCAAAGTAATATTTATATCATGCAGTTACATAACATCATAAAACTCTGACATGTTTACAACTACTTATTTCACATTCTGTGTTTTCAAATCACAGGCAACTATCTTTCAGCATAAATTGTCCAGAGCCAGGGCTGCAGAACAGAACACCACCTTCTTTACCCCAGATTTCAAAATCTGCTACAATTTGAGCCCAGTGAGGCTCTGGAGAAGCGTCAGAACTGAGTATCTGTTTTAAATCCGCTCTTAAAACTCACTCTCAGCGTAGAGACTACAAATTTTCTTAATCAAGTTGAACTACCAATGCCACACATCCTTCTAAACAAAAGAGAGTCAACACCGTCAGTATTCATTTTTCATTCGCTACCTTAGTTCACGAATGCCTTGGACAGAAACCAGGTCTGTAGTGTACCTAGTACAGCTTGATCCTGGCACCTGATTATACTGGTAAGTGTTACAGCAATACAATTTATTATAAAGAGCAAAGACATAAGGACTACCTGCAGCTGTCCTAGTTTATCAGATGTTGGTGAAACTATGGTGAAAAACCCATTGATCGGATGGCTGGGAGAGAGCTGGGACAGTTCAGTGATTTGCACTCTGCCAATTGGAAGATGGTCAAGTTTGGTCATTACCTCCAGGACAAGCACACCCATATCTGCGAAAATTAGGAACAGTTTCATTTCAGTCTCACAGAACACGGTCACAATTAAACACAACTAAATCTTTTTTGTTAAAATGACAGAGGTGCTAGAGGTTAACATAATGTTGTATCCTGAAATTATGATAATGAGGCAGCAGGTAAAGAAGTGTTATACTGATAATAAATTATGATAAATAAGTACAAGATTACCACAAAAGGACTACTGAAGACAGGACAAGGGGTAATGGTTTTAAACTGAAAGAGGGTAGGTTTAGATTAGATGTAAGAAAGGAATTCTTTATGATGAGGGTGTGAGACACTGGAGGAGGTTGCCCAGAGTTGTGGATGCCCCATCCCTAGAAGTGTTCAAGGTCAGGCTGGGCAAGGCTTTGAGCAACTTGATCTAGTGGGAAATGTCCCTGTGCATGGCAGAGGGGTTAGACTAGATGATCTTTAAGGTCCCTTCCAACCCAAACCATTCTGTGATTCTACGAGCAGCAATAGCAGGCATAGGTTTTACAGACAGACTCTAGACATCAGGCTTGCATTAATTTCCTGGAGATCTTTCACTAAATCAATCACCTTAACAATATTACCAGCTCATCTGAGCATCTTTTTATTCTTCCCGCCTTTAAAATATGGAAATGTCTATTTAATGTGATATGTATAATAGTAAAAATCATCTGATCTTGACACTAAGGGGACGACAGGAGGCTTCAACAGTTTGCAGACCTGAGGGCTAAACCTGATTACTAGAGAGACTGATACCAGCAATTCCAAAAGCCTCCCGAATCAGGAAAACGACCTAAAAAGCCGTAAAGCGAAACCAGGACCGGGGTTACTTGGCAGGTAAATAACTCCCCAGCTTTTGTGGGTCTCCCGGCAGCTCCAGCCCGGCCCTGGCCTGCCTGACCAGGGGGAAGCAGCTCTACCTGTCAGGTAGGCAGCGAACTGCCTGGGCCCGCAGCGGACAGCGTAGCGGGCGGTGGTTCTCCCCGCCGGCTGCCCGGGCCGGGAGGCGGGCTGGAAGACGGTACCGTCGGAGGTCTCCCCCCACCACCTCAGGCGGACGAAGGGGGCGGCGAACGGCTTAGGGGCCGTCCATACAACTCGGGAGACGGTGCAGCGAAGGAAGCAGCGCAGCGGGCCCTCCACAAGCGGCGGCAGGCTGGTGGAAGCGGGGATGTCTCCGGTACCTGTAGGGACGAGGGACCGAGAGGCGTCAGCGAGCGCCGGGCTGAGGCGCGTTCCTCAACCGTCGCCGCCGGCTCCCACCACCCTTCATTTTCCCCCTCAGGGACCGGCCCACCTCTCCTCCGCCGGGAACCCCCCGCCGCCGGGGCGAGCACCCTCGGCCTCCTCTGCCGCATCCCGCCTCGCCTCAGGCCTCGCCGGCAACCGCCGCCTCGGCGGGAGCGGGACGCCGCCGAGCCGCACTTCCGGGACTACAACTCCCATCATGCACCGCGAGCACAAGCAGCACCCTCAGTGAGGACTACGTTTCCCAGAAGGCCACGGGAGGGAAGCTACGGGTGCCCGGCGGGGGGAGGCCGCTTCCGGTGGGGCGGTGCGGCGCGGAGCGGGGGTTGGCGGCGGCCGAGGCG